CAGGAAGGTGGGAGGGTCTGGGAGGGAGGGTCTGCTGCTGATTGGCTGGAATGTGTCTGCTGACTGTGAGGTACAGGGTTAAAGTTTACTCAATGATGACATAGGGGGCGGACCGAACAGCGCATATGTTCGCCGTCCGTGGCGAACCGTTGGGCGAACCGTTCGGGACATCATTATTGCTAAACTACAACAGATTGGGTGGCGGAGCAAGCACTCTAGCTGATAAATGAGTGTCAGGGTTCATCCTTGGAGGAGCAGGTGTTGGATGAATGTGATGTTTTCTCTTCATCTGGCTTATATCACTCTTCCTCAGATGAGGAAGATACAATCCCCTATACAAAGGGAAACATTAAGACTATACTAAGAGCTGAAGCAACTATTAGCGACAAAGGTTGGGAAGGTCAGGGAAGAGATACACAACTTTGGAGGCTGTGTGGCAGCAGTGGAAAGGGAAATGGGGGACCTTAATCGGTAGCACACTGAAACAACTAACTCCCTATCTGGCCATCAGTGGATTTGTAAAGGTAATGCAAGCCAGAATGACTGCCTTGGAGAATGGCAGTCACCACAGCCACGTTAAGATTCAAGGCATTCCTTATTTGCCAGCTCTTATCCATTTACTCACTGGCATGCTGTTGTGTGGGCTACTGCCACCATTCTGATGGATAGACCCTTCAGAGTCCTTAACCTACCTGGAGCAAAGTCCAAAGGCCCCTGTGATGTGATTGCCCATCTGTCCTGCAAAGGGAGATAAGTTCGCCATAATGAAATCTGTCAAAAGCGCACCTTCTTATTACTTTGAGGGCAATTCTTGTCCTTTTATCAGGACCTCTATCAAGTTACCCTCAAGCCACACTGGGATAGAGGATCATGCTGGGAAAGGTCATGCAGCTACTCTGAGACAAGGGAATCACATATTGGTGGGGAAACCCTAGGTCCTTGATAATGGAGCGTAACAGAGTAGTATTGAAGATGGTCAATGCAGGGGAAGCACCAGCGTTTCTTAAAGAGAAAAAACTCTTTGCATCTAAATACGACAAATACTGATACGTGTCCGATTATCTGGAATGCGGCCACAGTCCCTACCTTTGTGCCATCTTGCACTCAATCTTTAATTGCAGGGTTACCCACCAGAAATTTACTAGACTTGCCATCTATCATGTTGCCAGAGAAGGTGGACTATTAGAGCTCTCACTCACTAATGTCCTTTTTAAGTTTAAGTTTGCTGTTACTTAACAGGTCCATGTTTTTGTTTTTTTTTTGCTTTTGTCCCCCAATTATCTGCCCCCCCCAAAGTAAAATGTTAAATTGAGCTCTTGCAACTATATAGTTTGAGGCATACCTTTATTAACTCACTGCTTCATCTAGTCGACCCATGGTCATTGTGTTATGAGTGTTCTTATATTATCCAGACACAAGTATTCACTAACGCATTGTTAGCGCACCCTTTTGTTTTCCATAATATTCCATAATAAAACAGAGACTTTATATAAAAATATATCAGCAACCCAGAATAAAACAAATAATATTTGATGGCAATACTTTTATGCCAGGTAGATCAGGAGAAGAGAACACCCACAGAATCTTCAACATTTTAGGGGAAATTCATCTTAAACAAACCCCTTCCATTTTAATGGCTTTTGATCGAGTAAACTAGAGGTTCATGCTGGAGACTCTGCGGGTGTTTGGTGTAGATGGCATATTCTTGGATAAAGTAAAGACTCTCTAAATGAACTTAACGGTAAAA